GGACAAGTTGGGTAGCTGGGATAAAGTTCAATGAGAACAAGTGCCAGGTGCTGCACTTTGACCACAACAACCTCAATCAACACTGCAGGCTTGGGGCAGAGTGGCTGGAAGACAGTGTGGATGAAATGGCCATGGGTGTGTTGGTTGACTCTTGGCGGAGCCAGCAGTGTGCCCAGGTGGCCAAGAAGGCTAATAGCATCCTGCCCTGTATCAGATATTATGTTGCCAGCAGGAGCAGAGAGATGATGTATTCAGCACTGGTGAGGCTGCAACTCAAGTACTGTATTCAGTTTTGGGCCCCTCCCTGTAAGAAAGACACTGAGGCACTGGAGTGTGTCCAGAAAAGGACAATGAAGCTGTGATGGGTCTGGAGCACAAGTCTTAAAAGGAGCAGCTGAGGGAACTGGGATTGTTCAGTCTGGAGAAGAGGAGGCTCAGGGGAGACCTTATTGCTCTTTATAACTTCCTGAAAGGAGGTTGTGGCGAGGTGGGGGTTGGCCTCTTCTGGGTAACTACTGTTAGCACTAGAAGAATGGCCTCAAGTTGTGCCAGGGAGATTCAGGTTGGACATTAGGAAGAACTTCTTCTCTGAAAGAGCGATCAGGCACTGGAATAGGCTGCAAAGGGAGGTGGTTGAGTCACTATCCCTGGAGATGTATGTTTAGATATTATACTAAGGGACACAGTTTACTGGTGGTGGGTGGACAGTTATGATCTCAGGGGTCTTTTCCAACCTTAGTGATTCTATAATTCTATGACTATTATTAACTTTGTTTCCGAATTTCTAAGTAAACTTTGATGTGGAAGATGAGAACTAGAAATTTATATAAAAATATCTAAAGACATATTTAGTATTAACAAGGTTTCAACATGGTCTCCCATGGCATCCCTGTATCCTAGCTGAGATGTTTAAACTACAAAATCTGTGACAACTGGTTGGACGGTTTAGCTCTATGCCAAAGGTTAACAGTTCAATATCCTCCTGGAGTCTGGTTACAAAATTTCCACCAGAGTTCATTCTGTGACCTAACCTGTTTAAAATCTTTATCAAGCATCCAGATAAGGAGACAGAACAAGCTCTTATCAAGTTTGAGTATGACAGCATGTTCTGGGGTGCAATCAATATCAAGGTGCAGCTGCCATTCAGGACTGATTGCTAGCCTCTGGGATGACTAGAGGCATGTGCAAAAAAATTAACCCTATGAAATTCAAGGTCAAAAGCAAGACCCTATACTGAATATAGACTAACTCACTGCAGTAGTAATTGCTACAGTCTAACTGGCTGTATTAAAAAGGACAAAAAAAAAAAAAAAGGGAGCCACAGTGAACAGAAAACTAAAGATTCGTTGCCAATGTGCTTTCTAAGCAATTAAGGCCACCAACAGCATATTGAGTTGCATCAACAGGAACTGAATCAGCAGAAAAAGGGATAGAGACTATTCTCTCTTATTTGACACTCATTAGACCCCTACTGGTATACTGTATCCAATTTTGTATCTCAATACAACACTGATAAATCTATGCAAATCTAGCAAAGGACCACCAAGATGCTCTAGAAATTGGAACAGGTGCACAGAGAGACCAAAGAAAATGCCTTGCTCAGTCTAAGAGAGAGCTTGAAATGGTGGAGGAACTCTACAGCATTTTTCAATACCTGAAAGCAGGTTATCAAAAAGAATGTCAGGCTCTTTTCTCAGGTGCACAATGGGAGAAATATAAGACAATGTTCATAAATTGAAGCAGAAGGTCCAGATGGCCTAAAGCCACAGGAAAACAGGAATCACATTAAAGAGAAAAAATGGGCGGTGTGGAAAAGTAAATATTGGAATAAGATACCCAGAAAAGTTGTGGATCTCTCTTCTTGAAGGCATAAAGCCTTGCATAAGATGGTCTTAGTTTGTTCCTGGTAATGCTATTTTGATGAAAAGGCTGGACAAGATCACTTTCTCAAGTCCCTTCCAACATGAATGATTCAAAGATACTAAAATAAATTGACAGATCTTGCAAAAAACATGCAGACAACATATACTCAAGAATCGTTCAGCTCTCTGTACATTTCTAATGCATATTTGAGTACCAATAGCCCTGCTTTTCTCAATACTCAGAGTTTAGTTGCCATAGTAACACATTTTGACTTTGAGGCTCTCTTCAGTGGAATTCTGATTTCTAAAAACTAAAAGCATCTACTACCTTTCTAATTTTTTATTTTTTTTTTAAGTAAAAAAAGTTTATATATTTAGTATCTCTGATACAAACATATTTAATGGCACGCTGATGTCTCCAAATGTAAAAGATGTAGACTTTAATTTCTAATTCTTCCTTTAGAATCTAAACCCAATGACTCAGTCTCTGGGGGAAGAACAATTCATGACATTCTGTAGTGTGGCTAGCCTAAAGGAAGTGCTCCTGGAAATGTTACCCTAGTGGAAGAATGAGATTGAGGAATTTTTCAAGTAAGCATAATAGGAAAACAGGCAATTAATACAATTTAATCAGGTCTGGAAGACCTGCTAAAAAGAATAAATAAATAACTCTTCCACTTGCATTGAGATGAAATAGTAAGACTTCCTGCTTTGTGTCTGTGTATTACTTGATCTTTGTTCCAGCCATAGCTTTTCCAGTGTTAGAGATCTTTGTCACTGTCTTCCATATTGCAGAGTAGAAGACATGTTACAGACTCACGCCAAAGCAGCAGCTGCTATGTAGTAAAACTGCCTTTCTCCATTCTAAGGGGCATCCTTCCTACATCTCCCTATCATCTGACACAGACATTAGCTTAAAACACTTGTTTTTTCTAGGCAGAACATGAAAATGAAAGGATGACATAGTGCTAACATCTCTCTCTCCAGGCAAGGCAGGTCATCTTGTCTCTCAGATCCTGATGCTGATGATGCTTATTATTGTCATTTTTTAAGGAAAGCTGTTCATCTTGCTTGTATCGTATATGCAGAAAAAGCCATCAAAAAAAGATGAGACTGATATATAGCACATAAACAACTAAATACCTATTCACTTAAAAATATCTAATAAAAATGGTTCTTATTTTGCTCTATATACTTTCCAATTGTGCAATTATTTCCTGACAACCAAAAATCTAGTTCATCTAATCCATCATTAAATATTAAGTTTTATTAAAAACAAAATAATAAAAAAAACCAAAAACAAACAAACAAACAAAAAAACCAAAACAAACAAAAAAAACCCAAAACTCTTGCTCAAGAAGAATAAATGCTAGCATTACATTTAATACAGGAAAGCCAAACTACTGCATTAACTTGAAGTGACAGTATTTATCAATTTAAAGATAGCAGAAAATTCTAAGGCTGGGAGACAGAGGGACTATGAAATGAAAACAATACATTTTAGTTAATATATTCTTCTCTTATTCCTTCACATGTGCAAGTCTCTGCTGCTACTTAAAATTTAAGCTCAAAGTGGCATGAAAATGTTATAATTACATTTTCAATTACCTCTTTTAAGATATCCAAGTACTGTATCTTTTTAGTTTTCTACTTGAGATGCAATACTTAATTTAACAATAAAAACATCAAACTCAAAACCATAAAATATTCGCTGTGGAAAGCTGCCAACTATGCTTATTTATTCAACTTGTTGCACACGGTGAGAACAATGCTGTACTCACAGTATGCATAACTTGTGTAGCAAGAAAACAGACAAATCAGTACATTTGAAATGGACAGAGTCTGGATTTCAGGCTTTAGACTTTCATGTTTATAATCATCACAGTGATGCTACAAGCTGAAAACAAAAGACATAGCTTTGGAAGAAAGGAACCATTTATTTTCATGATTCAGGGATATTGGAATTTTGTACTTTTTTTTTTTTTCCTCTGAACTCAGTTAGAAAGTCTGCTTTTTCAAAATACAAATGTACAGTGAGTAGACAGAGAAGAGGACCCAAGAAAACTAACCAGTCTCAGGCATTTTCTTACACCTCTCTGCTGATTATCTCCTTCAGCCTAAACAGTTTTAGACTTCTTTTTTTCCATTGCTGGAAAACAAAACTTACGGCAATTATGAAATGTCACATCTCACTCACTAATCAACTAGTCCAAAGAGACAACTGAGAGGCAGATGGCACAGATCCTAGCAATATATACCTATATTGGGCCTCTAATGCTAACAAGGACCTAACCTGCAGTTTCTACATTCACTCTCTAGCACTTCAGCTTCAGAAAGCCCTTTCTTTTTTTCATTATCACAGAGAATTAAATTAAGTTCCTGATAACACACTCTGAATTTACAGAGAACAAATGGACATCAAGACAAGCTTTGAATGCCTTATTTTGTTAAACAAAATAATTTACATTCTGAATCTGAAGTTGGAAAGACTATTTTCTTCTTCACCTGTTTACAGTCCTGCTCTCCAATCTATGCAAAAAGCTCTTACGTTACCCAAAAGCTGGTTCATCATATCCACAAACATACCCACTGTGAGAACAGACCAATGTATTTCAATCGAGATCTAAATAACATAATTAATCCAACACTGTAAAGCAATATTCAGTTCACTGTGCCCTTATTATATACTTCATATTCAAGTTAAGACCTTGTAATAATTGTATAGTGAAAAGGAAACCTAGCTGACTCTGATATGATGGCTCTCCTCAATAAATGTTTCCATTTTCACAATGAGATGCATATGAAGAACTGCTCATACTGTGATCACAAGTGAGGCTGCAATTGAATTTCTACTCTACTATAAATACACATCTTTAATCTTACAATTTGACTATTACTATTATTATGCCTTTGAAATATAATATTTTCTGGAATTGAATTGCTGTATCTTGACACACAATTCATGTATTTAATTTTTAACATAACCATTATACTGAAATAAAAATGTCAAAGGACAATTACTAAACCAGACACCTCACTAGCATAATTTCCAAACATTCTTTATTCTAAAGAAAATAACTTGTATTCAGCAAAAGTCTCACTGTTGCCTTTAACTTAGAGAAAAACAAATCCTCTTACCGTATAGAGCCAATCATGTAGGGCTGTGCTAGTTGTACTACAATAGCTCCACTCCCAAGCTGATGGCACGTGTACCCAGAATCCCAATCATAGTTTTTTGTGTCTCCATTCAACAAGGCATTGCGACTTCTACTGACACCCTCAATCACACTGGCACAATCTGCAATTGTTGCAACGTTTTCAGCAGGAACTGCAAAGTAAAACACAAGGAAGATGCACACAGTGATACAGTCAGAGAACAATTCAGACAGTAATGATATTCATTCCAGGCAAAAAAAAACTGGAAAAAAAAACCCCAAAAACTGAACTATCAAAGTATGACCAACACAAGGAAACATTAAATCTTGCTTAACATAAACTATGAAGTTCTGTTATACAAGTGCTTCAACATTTATTTTTGGAATTACATATTCACCTAATTATCTAATTACCTTTGTTTACATTGAAACCAATACAGAACTCTGTCTATAATTGAGAGAGACTCCCAAGCTTTTTGAATCTCATCATTCAGTAAGATGATGACTGGACATACAAAAGCTATTTAAGACGCCCTATTCATACGAGATATCCATGTCTCACTCTTTTTTCTTTTTAAACTCTCTAGAAAAAGATTCAGATTAACAAGGTTGCAAAATGATGTTCTCTGAACATGCAAAAATCAAGGCTATCTGTTTATCCTTTTATGTGGTAAATAACATTGAAAATACCATCTTAGCTAAAGGATAATAAATATTCTTTGAAAAAAAAGCTGAGACTGTCAGCTTCGATGGAGAATGGCCAATATATGTATGGTAACACAACAAACAAGAGTGGAAGAAATGACATGAAATTATTATAGTCACACGAAGGACAACGATCAATTCAACAGAATTTCCAAAATCTCATGCCAAACAAACCAGAAAATCAGAAAAAGAACTAATAAGCCAAAAGATGAAATGTAAAAAAAATTTGAAATACTGACAACTAAAATCCAAGATTGTTTGAATTTTCACATAGGGAAACAATAATGTATAGTATAGATGAAATTGGATTTATGCAACATCTTAAATCCACTTCAGAGTGAAAATTTAATAACAGTGATTTTCTCTAAAATATATATTAAAACTGCTATATCATCTGAAAATTGCTGAAATACAGCTATATGAAATCTCAGAACAAATTTTAAAGTCTCCAGTAGCCAAAAAAGAGCTAATTTTCTCTGAGGAGTTAGGATTCCAGTACCTAAAGGGGGCATACAGAGAAGATGGAGAAGGGCTTTTTATAAGGGTGTGTAATAATAGGACAAGTGGCTTTCAACTGAAAGAGGGCAGATTTAGATTAGATGTTTGGAGGAAATTCTTTACTGTGAGACTGATGGGGCCACAGAACAGGTTGCCCATAGAAGTTGGAAATGCTCCCTCTCTGGAGATGTTCAAAGCCAGGTTGGATGGGGCTTTGGGCAGTCTGGTCTAGTGGAAGGTGCTCCTGCCCACTATAGGGAGTTGGAACAAAATGATCCTTAAGGCCCTTTCCAACCCAAACCATACTGTGATCACACAATTCTGTGTTTTAAGTGTGCTAATGGTGCTGGGAACAGAATCTTAAATGAGAAAAAAACGTGCAAGCTCATTGGCTCATTACAAGCCAAGCAATAATTCAAGGTAGCAAAAAAAACCAACAGTTTTCCCCAAATCTACTGCACTATCAAACTTGATAACATCACTGTGTGCTCATCAAAAACTAGTAAAACCAGTGCATTCTTATTCTAGAAATGTCTTGATTTGGTATTATTAAACAGAGACATTCAGAAATTCTCCAGTTCCTATGGGGAAGAAAGAAGCAGACATGAGGTGTACTTCACTAGAAATTATCTGAATAAAGCAAAGATCAACAATGCAAACTATGTCCACAGGCATCAAAATGGAATTTGCCTTGGTTTGCTTTTCTTCCCCTCTTCCCTGTCAGTAAGAGAACTTTTTGAGTACCCATTTTACTTAGGCATTAAAGCATCTTCTATACAGTGCTGCCTTTTGTAGGAAACAGAAGCTACTAGGTTATAAAAACATGTACAAGATAAAATGTCAAAATGAATTTTCATGCCAACACTCTGTGGAATATTCCAGACACTCTGTGAGCTACATAAGTCATTAATTGAACACAATACAACTCAGTTCATAAAATATTTTACCTGCGTGCCCTCTAAGCTTCACCCTGCTCCTTTTCACATTTATATTTCTGTACTTCTCCAGACTCACAAGATGTTACCCTGATTAGCCTAACTCCTTAATAGCCATACAGAAACTGTATTAGTGTACATTTAGTGTCTTTTTTTTCTACAACAGTTAATTAGAATGTGATTCTAACTAATTGTAGCATGCAGAAGGTGTCATACTGCTTCTTCTCTCTAGGGGAGTCTGCCACTCCCTATTTTGAATGTTTATTATCTTCTTTTATATCTACTTGATACATTTATTAAAAACACCATCTGGTGGGGACTCTGATCTGTGCTATATTTTCAGTTCTTCTGGTTTTCTTCCTTTCTCCCATTAGAATTTCTGTTTAAATTCGGGTCACTTGTTTACAAGCATGTACTGCCAAAAAACAACAGTCTTGTTTCTATTTTCTTTTTTTTAATTCACCAAGCATCCAGTTATTACAGTAACCAACTTTGTTAAAGAAAACAAAAGAAGAGATTACAAATATGGATTTTTTTTTTCCCCACTGTTTATATTCTCACAAATTGAATTTGCTTTTAGGGAATGGAAAAGATGTTTGCTAGCAAAGCATACACATTCTGTAAGCAAACAACAGGAGGTGATTGAAGTTACAGTATGACAGCATCAAAACAGTTATTAAAACTTACTTTGTTCCCTGGTCTTAAGCTGCAGTGCGGAGCACTGAACTGCTTGGCAGTATATTTAATTATAGTAATATTATCTTAAAAAACTTGGACGCTTTTTAATCTGTTCTCATAGTATAAATGCTTCCAAAATATCTCAGAAATAATCTGATTTATAAAGTACTCTTCTACTAAATTATAAACACCAATCTATGCCATAGATACTGCAATTGCTGAAAGATATACAGTAATGCATACCACAAGCATTACATCGGAATCTGAAGACTTGAACAGTCATGACTACAGCTTGGAAGAGAGAAAGAATTACAAAAAGAATTACAATTTTGAAGGATTTTAGAAGAAAATCCCACTAATAATATTTTTCAACGTGCAATTGTCAGTTTGGATTAAAATAATTACATAGAAGACTGATTTTTCAGGTGCTGAGGCTTGTGATTTTCTGATCCCCAAAAGCATATCAAAAGCATATAAGGCATTAGAATTAGGCATACTTTTACATAATTGGCAAACAATTATCTACCTACAGAGCTGTTTTACTGAACACTGAAAGTTGTCTGAAGAAAGGAATGACAACAGCCATTTCAGAAAAGTCCTAGGAAATAAGCCTTTGTTGTAGCACTGGAAACAAGAAGAAAAGATGGAACCAAAAAAAACTGGAACCATACGAGCAGATCTTTATCGAAGTTTGGGTAGCAGCTACTAAACTGACCACATGACTGCCCTTTTCTGTTGTAAGAGGGAAAAAAGAGGGTTTCTTGCAGTATTTAGATGGTCTTAAAATTTTAACAATTTCCTAGGGCTATGGTTGCAGAAGAGATGACTTACACAGCTGGGGAAACTTGCATGGCTTTGAAAGAACACTAACCTTTAAGAAGAGAAGATACAAAATGAAATACCTCTGTGTGTAGTTAACATTAAACTAGACATGAAAACAGCACCTCTTGTGGCTTCCTTGGAGAGAGTCAGCAGAATGAATGTTGAACCACATACTAGAAACCAATACAACTGTTTTCAGTCTGCTATACATTTAAATGTGACTTTTTGCTGTTGTTTTTTGTTTGCTTTTCTTTTTTAATGACTGTCAGTGAGCAAAAGAGGAATGATTTTTTCTTCATTTTTTCCTTTAGAAGTACTCTTAAGGCACTGAGTAGTGCATAAGTAGATGTTCGCAATGATTCATAAGTACTGAACAGCATTCCCCAGAGGGTGAACAAGGACATTCCATTGTTTTATATCTATCTCTTGCTCTTTGGTCATTATTCATTCTTCCCTCTTTCATATGTAATGCACCAGTTTAAAAACAGTCTCATAGACTGAGACAGATCACAGATAAACACAATTTCATGTAAAAGCCTTCCACGTTGCACTGTCTATGACCTTAACCAAGCTCAAAGTAGGATGGGGGGTAGGCAAACCTGTGTGCTACACAATCCTTAATTGCACCTCAGCAGGGAGCACTGATTAAAGGTTTTTTAACCATGGGACTATAAAAGAAATGATTATTTTTCTCCCTTTGCAGCAGATAAAAAAAATAATTTCCTATATATTCAGGGGAAATATATGTATGAGAAGCCCCTTAGACATTACCGTAGTCTCTTGCCATTGGGTAGGTTGGAAGCCATTATCAAGCATCACATCATACTGGGTACTGCATCTGCATTCAGCAGACTATGCCTCCTGTTTGTAAAAACTTTAATTTGTTTTGGATTTCATATTAAATATTAATGACTAAAGACCATTCAAATTTCAGCAGCTCACATTCATTAAAAACAAACACTATGCTTTTGAGATTTTAAAAAATTTGCACCCCTGTTAAACAAAACAGTTAAGTCAATCTAGTGTGAATCCAATACACAAAACTGCTAATGTGCATATGCATTTAGAGATAATATGCCAAAAGGAAAATTATATTTTCACTCTAACATCTGCATTAGGGAATAATTTCATATGATTGAATTAATTTCCATCACTTACCTCATTTAACAAGACAACAAAGTCTATACCAACACTAAAACAGCAAGATGGTGCTAGAAAAAGCATTTCCTGCTACTTTACCTCAAAACTGTTAGTTAATTGTCAATGGGTGTTATCAGTACCACGTCCAGTATTGTGTACTAAAACTGTCTAAATCATCTTGCATACAATCTTTTAAATGTAACGTGTCGAGTTAATCATTTGCAATGAAATCTTGGTGTCCAAAAACACAGCAACATAAAACTGCTATTATCATGACACTTCATTTTTATTATATGTTTACCAGTCTTCTAATCTTCACTTTACAGTGACAGCCATTAAATGTACTGATACAACATATCAGTAATAATGTGTCTGATAAATTACCCTATTTTTATATACAGCTTTCTGATCAAGTTGAATAGGTTTAATGAAAATTCAGTAATTACTTCTAAATCTATAGGATCCCTAAACAAAAACCTCTGTGGTCTTAATATTCTGGAATGAGATCTGAAATGAGAAAGTCCTCGAATAGTTATCTTCAGTGCTGTTTGGTAGAAGTTAGGGTCACAAAGGCTTTCAGAAATATGACCGTATGACTTTCAAAGAATGAGTAACATTTCCTTTTCTTAATTAAACAGGTTATAGAAAGAGCAGTTATGGTATTAAATTAGGTTAGAACAGACACATTTAATCTCACACTACATAAACAATGAAGTCAATAACTTGACCCAATACCACTTCTTTAAGGGTTAAGAATGAAGTTTCTATGCTCAGTGAAACTTAGAAGCAACCTATTCTGATTATTGCACTTTCATACATTTCCTGGAGCTTTCCCAACTGCTTTCAATTCACTTCAATCTATCCAGTCATGGGAAAAATAGAAATTACAACATCATGAATCACATTAGAGCATTAAGACAGACCTTTGCCAACTATGCTATTGGTAGTTACACAAAATTTTTTATGGAACTGGGACAGACTGCTTGATACAGTGAGTCAGATAGCATGCTGCCTTAACAGTAACCATTAGAGGTATGGAAAACCAAGCACTAAATGGATATAAGTCATTTTGCTGGATCAAAGCTGTTGAGAGTATTTCTAAAGAGGAAACAGACAATTTCTGACGGAACAGTCAGTGTTCCTGCACAGATTCACAACTGGCCTGTCCACAAGTGGTTCTAATATTCCATGCGTCCAAGTCCCACTACATGTTTTCTAATAGAAAAATGCAAGAAGTATGTCATGATGTGGTACAGAACTTCTCTTGATTGAAGTAGGTTTTTCATATCACTACCAAGAAATGACCCTTCCAAATCTTAACAACTATCAGGAGATGGTTTCAAAACTTGATAGCCCATGGATGAAGAGAACTATAACCACAGCATAGGTTTCACCACCACCTTTTGATAACTAATAGATTCTAAACAGCATATGCATCATTCCATGTAATTTTGCTGAATGTCAAATTTGTAATCCCGCACTGGCTCAAGAGAAGTGTGTAAGTTAACAGCTATCCTTACAAACTCTACATCGCTGGCTGCTCAGAGCTCAGTGAGTTTCACCTAGTAAGTAGTGATCCTAGTTTACCATATATTAATGCATATTGTGTTTTTCATCCTCTACTTGGTTCCAATTTCCTCTTCACTGTTAACATTCCCAGATGCGTAGCAAGATACTCTGTCATTAGTCAGCAATTTTCTCATTAATTCACACTTTCAAATGTCAACAGAAGTACTTCACAATGCACTTTGTTACACATACACTGCACTTCCAGTTGCATTTTAGGAGGGCAGCCTGTTCTGAACAAGGAATAGAATTTCTGTTGTTCAGTGACTTTGTATGCATCTGCATTACCATTTGCAGGGCTCAGCACATATTTATCTCTGATAGTAAGATCTGTTGTGAAAAGAAAAGCGAAAATAATAGAAGTTCTCTGTAGTGCTAGGAGGCATGGAACATTTTTATATGGAATCGGAGCCCATACGTCCTTTTCTGTAAAGGTAGCAGTTAGAACTGGAAACCTACAAACATCTCCACAATTTAATAGACAGATGCACAAAAGTCATGAAGCATTGAAACAAGAAATGGCAAGGTGATATGCACATGGCATATGTTGGCAAGAATACTGTGGAAATTTGATCATGGAATACAGACATATTGACAATCTAGCAACAAAGTGACTTGGCTCTAATAATCATAACCTACATTCTACGATTTACATAAGCATTTATAATACACAACTGATATTGGATGGAAAGCAACATATGATCATTCTTCAAAGCACAAAATATGTAACTACAATAAAACATCTGTCATAGACCAGTAAGTTTTAATAAGGTCAAATAGAGTCTCCATCTCTCAGATTAATTTTAAAATTTATGGCTTGAATTTGGAACCCACTAACATGCAACACTGAAAAAGATGGAATAGTTCCCCTTACAAAAAAGCTCTCTGAGTGTCAGATAGTTGGTACAAGTACATACCCATAACCATATACAGATTCACTATATTGTTATGACAAAACAATGTTCAAATTATTTAACAAGCAAAAAAATAAAGGTAAATATATTATTTGTGTCCTACATTATAACTAAATGCAATTGATAATCTTAAAATGTAGAAAGATATATGCATTACTGATAAAATAATTCAAATTTTGCATGAAACTGTTTAAAAATCATAGCTAGTAGCGCTATTTGTGAAACTTAGCTCAAAGGTGTTTTATCAATCTGCCTTTACGCTTCCCATGCTGTAAGAAGCAAAAATCAGCAAAATGTGATTTGTCAAGTGATTTATTTATTCTACAATTCTATAAAGACATCACGAAATTCCACAGCAGATCTCATGAGATCAGGTTTAATGACGCTATGCCTTTGTGCAATGCATGGCAAAAGGGCTGAAGGAATTGGGACCCAGTTTTTCAGTCAGATATTATTGTTTTCCTTAGGAAAAAAGTTGAAAGTATGCCTCACTAAAAATCTTCCCTCTGATTCTTTTTTGTGAACTGTTTTCTCTTCCACCTACCATAGGTGAATGCTTAAGAATTAAAATGTTGAACTCCTGAGGATAAGCAACAATTTGTGATACTGTATCACACGCAGCAGTAATAGGTGGTCTGAAAAAAACATGAACTAGAAGGATTGTGAGTTTCAGTGAAACCACAGATGGCAGAAATCACTCCTACAAGTATACAAAACTAATTATTTTTCCAGTGAATTTCAAGAACTCACTTATCTGAGTTTATAGGAAAGAAAGCTCAGTGATCGCCATAGTTGAACTAAGAAACCTATACCAAAACTTACTTGGACATAGTTTACTTACTTTGATATGGTTTAGTGAACCATACCTGTCTGGGACTTCTATCTTAAGTAATGCAGTATTACACAGTCGTAATTAAATTAGTATTAAGTAATCTGTTTTGAGCACCAGAAGTAACAGAGTTCCATCAGCATGGCATTCTGGGAATAATGGTAGTCAATATAATGTTCTGCCATGGATAGATGTGCCTAGAACTCTCCAGGGAAAAATCAATATAGAGTTTACTTCTAGCAGTTGAAAGCAGGCTGCATAAGAGGCAGTAAGTGCCCAAATTCATCTTCACTGCAAGAAATAGCTCTGGTTACTCCATCCCAGTTAGGAAGTAAAAACAAACCTACCTGGAGGCAATAGCAACCACACTATCACATGGAAGGAAAAATCATATTAGGAGCACACAGAGACTCAATTACTAGTGGTTTTGTCAGCAGCAGTTAATTTAATTTGAACTTTCACGTTCCTGCAGCATTACTAATTGATCCATAGCACTGGAATTTCAAAGCAGCCACAAGGTCTAGCCAACTAATTCTAAACATACAGCATCATATAACTCAAGTTAAAGATTTCTGTGTGGAAAGGGAAGTACAGCAAGTGTGAAGTCATAGCCAGTCTTAAAAGGCAAATGTACCCAACAGTTCATGAAAATGGAAGCAGTTGCATTTCTTACCTATCAGACCCTTCTCCAGAGCAAAGGTTTTGTTGGTAAACATGCATTCAAATGCCACAATATGGAAAACTTTGTTCACTGTGTTGTGGGTTCCAACGATGCGAATGTACCTATGGAAGGGGGAAAAAAAACAACATGTTTCAGTGGGACTGTATTGTGCCAAACTGTACGAGTGGGATTCACTTGCACAGAATCAAGTAATTGCTAAAAATAATTAAAAAGGAATAAAAAAGAGAGAAATTTCACAGCAAAACTTGGTAGGGTGCCAAGAGAAAAAGAGCTGAGAAATGTATCAAAATCTTTCCAGAGTAATATGCCCAGAAAAACTGGAATAGACAGTTAGCACAAATGTATACTCAAAGAGACTTAAAAGCATGGGTGTCCAACCTTTTGGTTTTCTGGGCCACACTCATTGAAGAAGAATTGTCATAGTCCACAAGTAAAATATATCAATGTCTTTGTTGTTGTATTTTTTATTAATCATACTAAATATCTGAACAGAAAAATTCTGTGAAACAAAGCTAGCTCTGGGTTTCATTCCTGTCTGTATAAGTTGTACATTTAGACTCTAATTCAAAATCAAATAGAGCTTCTCTTGAACATCATAACTATTCACTTTTATATTACCCTGGAGGCTACACATTCTATAAAGTCATTAATCTTGACTCAGTCTGAATCCTTCATTTTCAGAAAAGATCCAACAGTTCCTACCATAAATTTTTCATATAAATGGAATATTGTACTCTATTTCAATAAACATTGAACAAACAGCATAGAAAACTATCTTGAACAAGTACCACCATCCCACAGAACGGGTTACCTACAATACACAAAGCGTTTGTGTTAAATGGACTCATTTCAATTAAGAACCACCAGAATGTACGGATCTTTAGCAATATCACTTGTCTGCTATATAATACAATCTTTTGCTTATTCAGTACCACTAAAGTTCCAGAGTAATGGCTGCTCACCAACAGAATAATTCAGGCTTGTGTTCATCATATTAAGTTTTAAAGAAATGCAGATTTCAGTTCTGTGAGAGTTACTGACCTCTGATCCTTTTAGATAATGTAACGAGTTCATTGAAAAACAAAGCTCATCCATTACATATCTTTTTCCATTTACAAAATTTATATACAAATGCTCGACTTTGCAATTAATTTAAAAAATGATTTATATTATAATTGCTTGAAACAAAACAGACAGGTACGTTATTCCCTATTCAACTTGTAGGTCAATTATCACAATTAAGAACGATGCAGAACTTAGCTTTTGCCATGTAATTACAAGTGCCTGCAAAGAACACGTCAGGAATGTTGATTCACAGTCAGGGAAACAGCAGTTCTTCCCCAGACATGTTCATGGAAGTGAGCCAGCTGCTGTTAGCTGATATATGAATGCTATACTTTGCAATAAGGTGGCAAAAATTGATACCAGCATCAGTTTTTCTTAACACACTGAGGGTAATTCGTAGTGCACAGTCAGCCACAGCAACAGCAAAATCACGACAGAGAACCAGAAGCAAGAACCACCTAATTCACTGCAGTGTGAGAGACCCTATGGTTTCTACTCACAAAGCACATGAGAATAACACTAGACAATAGATTCAAAATAGAGTTGGCTCGAAGCATGATGCTGATAAGAAACTGCAATGTTACCTATGTCAAAATGAACAGTAAAGTTCTAGTTTAAAGGATATAGATTTCAGAAAAATAAAATGTCTATTATAGTTCATTCTATGCTTGAAAATGTAGATTTTCCTAAGCACTTCTCTGACAGAAGGAAATGCAACTGAAGGACGATTAAAAGTAAAAGCATCCTTCATGCAATCAGAGCATATGTACCATCTCATCATTTTGTTGGAGCAATTCATTAGATGAAATACAAGATTACAGGTAACAGCATTAGTAAGTACAATTATTTAGCAAGTGCACATTTACAAATGCTTAAAATGCACAGAATGTGAGCTAAGTGATCACTTTTAAAGGACAGTTTCAATATCAGCACAGAGTACATTACCGTTACCATCATCACCATCACAAGTACAAAAGGAGTTTGAAATCGAGATTTTTCATTGAAGTGATGTGTAGGTTATGGAGTATGCACTGACCTTGAAAACAAAAGCTTCCATCTTTCCTTTTGTTAGCTATATTTCCACAATCTTCAAAGACTTTACCACTGACTTCTACTGCTTATTGCAAGCCTTAGAAATCATACGAATATTAGCTGTTTTTCTCTTTATTTATGTTCACATTATTCATAAAGAGCTGAACAAAATTATGCAACACGAGTTGAAAATGAAATTTAATGCCAATATGACACACGAGACACAATTCCTTTACACTGAAGAAAACAAGTGTACCTCAGTTATCTTACATCCATTCCCAATATCATATTCTCCTAACTGAAAAAAGAACAGCCTGGTAATAAAGTACTGCAAAACCTGGGTGTGGTTCTCCACAATAGATTCGATCAAAAACAAGGGAACTCAGTTGAAATCATAGTTAAAGCATCTCTCATAGAAACTTAGGAATTCCTGTACTGACAATAGCTTAAAGAAAAATGGTGTTCATACGATACACAGCCTCAATCTGCAGTGCAACAAAATGAAGGAATTCTCTGTTCTAGTTACACCGCTCATCTTGGTTGATGGTATCGTGGTCAAAACTAAGGTTATATTGCATACCATAAATTTTAATGAAGAATTTCTTTAAAAAAAAATAAATCAGTAGAAACAGTAAACTTATTAGGAAAGAGGTAATTATAATTTATATTTGCATACATACTGATTTTGTCTGGGACAGAGTTAATTTTCTTTACACTAGCTCACATGGTGACATGTTTTGGATCTGCAACCTACACAGTGCTGATAAGGCACTGATGTTTTTTATTAATGTTTGAGAAAAATGGATATCGATAGCATTGAGATGCTTTAGGAATTTCATCCATATGTCAGACTTCTCTAGTCACTTAGTGTGACTAGTATAGTCATGCTACACTTGGCCTTGAGATACCCATGACAGGAATAACAGAAGAATCTGTTCTCAATATTTATCATTGCATTAATAAGAAAATTATTTTAAGTAGAGAGAAACAGTGTGCTCTGCTGGATCTTGGTAGAATCTTAAGCTATAAAAAATTGAATGAATGACCTGGGTTGATAAAACAGGCAGCCCTCACCCACCCCAGAGCAATTCTTCACTTTTACTTGAAACTATGACTTGGGCAGTTTGTTGCAAAATACAAACACTCGTATTTCTGAACAACTACATTATGTTTTACTTCTGCTCTTTTCATTTGTGCAGCTGACACATTTAATTCAGGCAACAGCTGCTGCTGAGCACACTACTGATTCAGCTATGGATACCCTGAGGGGATTACCAATACCAAAGCTCAGCTGCCTGCATCCTAGCAGTACTTGGGGCATGTGTGCCAAAGCATAAAAATATGTACGCTCTAGGATCCTTTTTAATCCTTCACTGCAATAGCACCACTAAGGTACCGACAAAGTCTGGAACATATTAAGCACAGATTCTAAACCCTTAAGAAAACTAAAACAAAAAACCAAGTTAAGAGAGATAAAGAAAATTAACGGATACTTTGCAATGATATCCCATTCTTAGTTGCTATCATGGCAATGCAGAACAGCAATAGGGAACTAAAATAAATAACTAGACTCAATATGTACAAAGCTAGCTCTTAAGAATTTGACATTTTATTTTCATTTTTGGAACACTGTGTCTGAGATACTAATGCTAACACTTCATATATACTTTAACTGCCTAGAAAACATTAATATTTGCATTCTAATCACTGCCTCAGTGATGTATGAGACATTGCCCAGCACACAAGGGTGTTAGAAGACATTATGTTTGTCTTTCGGTGGAAAAGGAAACAGTGCTATTCATAGCCATCTAAACATCATTTATTGACAACTCTGTAAAATCTACAATCCTTCAGACCCACACAGCTGAATCAACAGACTCCTGGCAGAAGGGATTAAAAAAAAATCTCTTGCCAGAATTAAATCATGTGAAAAAACAGTGTGCATAAATTAAAAACATAAAAATAAAGAATTAGGTCAGAAGAAACGTGGAAAGCATTCCTGTTTTTTGACGAGTATTCCTGCACTTAGAAAGAAAGCCTAATAGAATCTATTTTATACCAAAGGAAATCCCCACTGCAAATATACAAAGCTATGGAGAAGAATCAAATGCTTAAAGAAAAGAATGTTACCGAACTCTAGCATGCATACACTCACTTGCACTACAGAGTTGCTGTAAAACAAGCAACAATGTAGCAGTTAGCAAATTACAAGGAGAAATGTGTTTTCAAAAATGTTTATCTAGATATTCTACAGCACAGATTTAAATGGAAAAAAATACTGCTATGTGATAACTATAAAGGATATATAACTGTGCACTATATATAAGCAGCACATCAACCAAGAACCTCAGCCAACATTTTTGGTCTGGGCATATTTGATCAACTTAACGCTAACATAAGTAACATTTTGCTTTCCACATGTAAAGAATAGTGAGCACACAAGAGAGTACTTTTTTCACTACTTGTTTCTAGTTTTAGTTTCAGCAAAACAAACCAAACAAGCCCTGGAATCTAAGATGACCCTGACTGAACCTTAACACTGTGTGCATCTCTAGTGACAGTCCATTTCTGAGCATGTATCTCCGCAGGGTTTGTTTCAGGTCAGATCTCAATCCAAAATAGTTGCATTTCCCAGAACTCGCATGAATATGGATATCTACAGTTTCCCATTACCTCTCAAGAGTCTTTCATTCATCATATAAATTTGAAGTCTGTTAGGAGAATATAATGAGCTTCTGATGCTCTGTAACCAAGTCTTACCCCTGATTCAACATTGCAGCCAAACCTAATGTAAACACCACCTTTGTTTGTCTTTGTGCTACCTCTGCTGAGTACGTTAAAAAGGACTCATAAACTCAATCTAATGGAGAACATTACTTTTTTTTTTTTTTTTAATACAGAAGAAAGCACTAGTCTTCTGAAGTCTGGTTCTAAAATCATCTGCACATGGAATCCGGAGCAGAGATGCGGGAACCCACTCCGCATCACTTTCAGGCTGGTGCAA